AGATGCAATGTGCCTTGGACGTTCTTGGACTTCCACGCTGCAGTCAGCTGGGTGAACAACGTGGAGCTGTTGCTGCGACCGATAGACCCCAAGCCCGTAGCATTCGACCAGGCATCTTGTGTGTACCCGCATTCCATGAGACACGAGGCCGAGTCAGCGTTGTACTCGTATACCTTCATGCCTTGGTCGGTGAAGGCAAAGTCCAGCCGTCCCGAAATCGTGTCTTGTTTGCTAATACGTGCATGTTATAAACCCAGGCTTGGCGATCGAACGCATGGATGACGCGTACATACTGATGGGTCCAGGAGTGTTGGATCTTTGGCCACAACCCCGCGGGAATGCAAAAGTACGGCGCGAGTTCCCGCTTGTGTGCCAACACATGGTCTGTTGCGCGAAGGAACAACTGATGCAGGATGTCCGTAGCGGCCTCGACGCCTGCCTGGCCCGCTTCTGTGATCGTGTAGTACTTGGACTGCTGCGCCGTGGACACTTCATGGCCATACTTGGCTTCGAAGGTCGGCACAAACGGAAGTGACGCGTCGAGGTATCTGGCATTGCCGACGTGGCGGGCGATGTTCAATGTATGCACCGCCAGGTCTTTCTTGACCGCATTCAAGTACTTGGGCAGTACCGACGATGCCGAGATTGCCATCGACAGACACTACCGGGCAGTGCTTTGCCGCAACAAACATCACTTGTGCTAGAGAAATGCAACCAAACAATGTACGGTTCATACGTACGATTCAGTGTACGTACAATGTACCAAATCCATCCAAAGTACTACTGTACAGTATTGGAGGATATTATTATTGTACTGCTTCCACTACTCGTACAATGCAATTCCATGTCCAATGAACGGTCGATTATGATGTGCAAAAGGATCATCCACGGATCCTTGACCAATCACAAATGCAAATGACGCCCACTCATCGGTTGATGGATCCAAATAAATAAATAAATAAAACGACCGATCGATGTATAGTTCAATACTATTATTAATTATAATACCCTGGTGGCCACTTGACTGTTAATTTAACGCAGCAGGCAACGACGATGACTACACACAATCCTGTGAATATTGTCGTCTAAATACAACCAACCACGCAGTAGAGTACTACTACGCTGCTCGGACTGGCCGTACCTTGTCTGGCACCACACGCATAGGGTAGATGCCCGAACTGAGTCCGATGATGTTGGACTCGTCAATCCGAAGCACCGTGCCACCGTACTCGCCATCGATCGCCCATGTGTTGACCTGGACGTAACAGTCGTCCTCATACTTGGGCAAGAGCGCAATCTCCTGATACACGATCGTGTCATCTACCCACTTGCCCGCCGTGGCGCTGATGAGGTCGCCACTGCCGTTGTAGATGCTCACGTT